ATGAATAGCCGAATGTCGCTGAGCGGCATTCGGCTCGGCTGTTCTGCTCGCTCCCTCTGTGGGACCGAGCAGATCAGAAAAATAGTTAAAAAAGTAGAAAAATACAAATAGAAAATGATTGTGCGGAGCTAGCAACGACAACTAGCTCCGCCCAACAGTTTACTATTAGCCGGCGGTTCTGCTGCCGTCAAAAAAAAATCCAAAAAAATGTGGCCATAGGAATGCATTTTTTCAATTTGCAATAGCCAATAGGAATCTAGCAATGCATTCCTATGGTGAACATTTTTAATTTTTGTATTCTCCGTGTCAGAATAAAAAAAAAAAGCAGTGCTTCTCTCCTTAGCGGCCGGGAGCGTGAGAGTCCCAGAGCGCTCGGGAGAGTTAGGCTGTCTGGAGATCAGTGTCCCTGGTTAGCTGGTAACCAGGGACGCTGATCTCTCTGCAAGTGTCCGACGGCTTATGTTGTGCACTTGTATTTTTCATGGCCTAGGACCCAGGCTGCGGTGCTTAGATAGCAGGGGGCACTCCAGAGCATCCTAACATGAACCGAGGCTACGGCTTATGTTGGGGGAAACATTAAAGTGGTCCTATCACCCGTCCATAGCTGAAAATTAATCCTATTGTGTTACACTGAATGTGCCTTAAAGTTGGATAATTTCTGCTGTTTTTCCATATTTCTACAATAAAGAGCAGATATAATTAGAGTTCTGATTTCAGTTTTACATGTTCACACTTGTTTTATATGTGTTTTTTTTCCATCTACTGTATAAGCTATCTTTGTTTTACAAATAACATTTAATATATGACAAAGGGTTACCAGAGTACTATAGGTTTGCCAAAATGACAGAAAAGACAAACAGCTTACCCTAAAACTGCTCTTATAACCTATTTAAATTCTCTACACAAGAGGTTTCTTTTAGCAAAGTTAAAACGTAATCCTGTTAATGATGTAAACAGGAAACTACAGCTCCACCTGCTGATCGGATAGAAGACTGAATAATAATACTGTGCATTATTTTATATTTACTTGAATATATAATTTATTTATTTTTTGCAGTCTTGACTATAATACCCAAAGAACAGAAAATGACAGTACTAAACCACAATCATTTATTTTAGCAGTGAATAACCTGCACACGATCATTGAAGCAGCTCCTGATAGAGAAGCCTGCTCTGCCAAATTCATAAGGTCACGAAGAAACAGAGTTATCCAAAGGACTAAACAACAACAAAAAGGCTGCCTAATAGATGAACCGGCCTTTGCTATGAGCAGCGGATGGTAAGAGTTCTGTCTATCCTCATCAAGATCACCGACCCGCTGAGACCTTTCTCTCTAGGCACATATGTGTGAAAAGCTTCATACCTTTTTCTACACAGAATCATCAGGATGATTTCTCTCATGTGTTTATATAGGAATATTGTAGTACATGATCAGGGGCATTTTATGACACTGGGAAACCCAGAGAAAACATCTCCCGTGTAGAACCCCATATAATTTTTACATTTTTAAATTCACCCAATAATACTACACATCATAATACCATACACTGCCATATACCGGGCAGGGCATTGGGAAAAGCACCAATTTATTTCATTTACTGGTAGTCAAAGGGTTGATATAAGTGTATATAACAAATCACCCTTCTACCCTTGTTTGCCAATCATGTGACATATCATGTGATCACATAATTGGAGCAGAAGGAAGGGAACATTTTGGTTAAGAAACTTCTGGATGAGTTTCTTCTTTCACAGAATCTACAGGGATATGGGAAGTGTTAGATAAACACACACACTCACATACATAGGTTGGACTGGATGGGCCTTGGTCTTTATTCAATCTTACATACTATGTTTCTATGTTACCTAGCAGGAGAGCTCTGTTCTTCTCTTCTCATGTACAGAATTGTGCACTGGTATTTTTCCTGGCCTAGGACCCAGGCTGCGGTGCTTAGATAGCAGGGGGCACTCCAGAGCATCCTAACATGAACCCCCTGGACTAGTAGACTCAGGACAGCTGCCTCTTCTACCCTTATTGGTAATGTAGCCTGGTACAAAGTTCATAGTGTCAGAAACAGGGGCAATTGTAGGCTTCCAGCACAACAAAGCAATGCTGATCACTTAAAGGCAAAGCATAGTGGATTTTGTATATATTTCCTTGATTTATTATGGTCAGCACTAAAATATAAACTATTAAAAAATATATTTTTAAATAGGTAAATATAAAATATATATACAAATTGCATACACTGCACATGCACCCCTTTTAAATGGTTTTCACAGATTACATGCAACAAATGCTATTTTGGTGCATGGTGACCTGACACATTATTTTAATGCCTGGGTAAAAATTGTGAGCCCTGGCCTTGTAGATTGTTCCTCTTGAGTGCATTTTAAAACTTAGTTATAACTAAGGCATAGTTAAAACATCTAGGGCGTACCTTTAACAATTACATACCAAGAGTTGCCAGTGCTATTATTTGGCATGTATTCTCTTTACATTTCCTGGACCAGTAAAGGGTATTCTAGAGTTGCCATGTTAATGTATACACAGAATACATGGAAAGAGTGTATTTCCAATTCCAGTTTTCAGATCTTGTGAGATTTTATCCATGCAGAAAAATGATTAGGGAATAGGGAAATTTCTGACATCACAGAACACATGACCAGCACACCAGGAACTGTCAACAATAGGCTTTTCTTATTAGTTCAACCCTTCAGATGTCTTACAGAAACCAAACATAAGTATTGCTTTTAAAAATTTCAAGTATCTTACAAAGCTGTGTGTATTGTAGGTTATACTCTTGGAACATAATTTATCATGCAAAGTCTGCCTTCAAGGGCAGCTCTATTAAAGTCAGTTTGAATAAGGTAAAGAGATTATAATGTGCAAGAAAACTCAGCTACGTGACATGAGTATGATCAGTACTATTTCTTAAAACAGTGGACCTTCATTATTTTGTGGCTCGACTAGATACTGGTCAGCCAAAGAAAAGGTCTAAACTGGTCATGCTTGTAAGCACTTAGGAAAACACATTTAAATTAGCCGGTCAGCCCAGACAGGAAGCACAAATCTAAAAGTTATTGACACATGAAACTCTATTCTAATCTATTTAACCAACTATTTAAGCATTTATAGCTCTTAATGCTGAACTCAAACAGCTAAATACACAGTTAAACTGGATATGAGAGACATACCCAAACTACTAGATCAATGCACCACTTCCCAGGTTTGTATATTACCATAGTAAAACTCAAATATTGTACGAACAGGACTTTTCCCATGTTAACATGTTATTACAAATATACTATTTTATTTTAAATATATACATTTTATTTATACATAATTCAGATTCATTAAATGACAAATACACACAATAACACAAATTGCTTACTAAACATACATAAAACAAATCACTAGCATTCCGTGGATTACTAAGTGTGACCCAAAAAAGCTTATATATTGGAATATCTTTATACATAATTTATATTGCTACTGCATAGTGTCACCTTTGGTAGCAGTCAGTGGGGATGCCTCCCTACTGCAAGGGGTCACTGCAAAAGATGAAAATGTGTTGACATTCTCAGCTGCAGTTTTTCTTTCACTCACAGGTCTACAACAAACCCCCACAGTCTGAATAAACAGTAAATGAACTTATAACTATGGATACACAAAAATGGAATCTTTAGTGTAGTGCATTTAAGTAACTCCTTGATAAAGGCATCATGCCTTTATCAAGGAGTTACTTAAGTCACCTGTACTTGAGAAATGTTACACGCCCCTCTGAGGAAGCCCCACTCGTTGGGGGGAAACACGTTAGAGTTTAGCGTGTTGCTAGCTTCCCTGGGGACCCAGGACACACTGCCTCTGTGCCATCACAGTGATCGGGCTGAGGAGCCTCTGCTATACTGATCGTATTGAGCGAGGCCCGCCCACACAGCATAACAGCAGCACGGATCATCAACTTCAAATCTGGATCGAGTGGAGTTTCACTCGCGCACACTTTCTCAATAGCAGCCGGGCCCTCGATCAAGCACTTTATTGGATACTTTGCCCGTGGAACTCTGTCCACCCCTGTCTAAGCGTGCGGCCGCACTTGCAGGGGAAGCTGTCGGGCTGTCCTCTATATATGATATACGGTGATGCCGGCCGGGATTTACTTTGAGAAAGAACCGTGCGATTGTTGAAATCATTTGAATAACCACCAGGATCACAATTATTATTTTTATCGAAATACCATCAGGATATCCACTACGGAAGTGCGGACTCTTTTTCTTGTGGCCACAATTGAATAAGTGAGTAACTCCATCACATGTCGATACAATTGTATCCATCGCTTCATAACGGTGTATCCGCCTATATCAGTGACTGCTGCTTTATCCTGTGGGCACTTTAACCCTAACTTTAACCCTGACTACTCTGCCCTACATTTGGGTCATCTTAGGGAAGCTATATGTTTCTTTTAAAGTTTTAAATGTTATGTATGAGGTGATTTATCTCTATATTGTGTTGTGTTATGTTTAATTAAAAATATTTGGATACACTTTATATCACACCTGAATATCTGTTCATTGGAGAGCTCCGCTTATGGGATTTCTATGTCAGGGGGTTTGCGCTGTTTGAATAAGATTTTTTGAAACCCAGGAGCTCAATCCATAATAATTTATATAAAACATTTTTTTTTGCGTTACTCCTTTTTTCCCCGTTTTTGTACATTTACCAAATACACACATGTAACCACATATAAGTCACTGCATGTAAGTCAAAGCTGTAGGCAGGGATTTTTCCACCAGCAGCTAATTGGGTGGCATGGAAGGCGCTTCATTCCATGCCCAGAAGGAACTTCTTCTTTGTTCGGAAGAGCTCAGGTTTGGACCAAGTTCAGTCCGAACCTGAGTTCATTCCTAGTCAGAACAGGTTTCCTTTATTTTATCCAGTATAGCTGTAAAGAATTCCACAATGAAAACCCACATTTGAAATGAGCATTCTGAGATTTACTTACGGTTTTCTGATTTCAGTGGAACAATTTGGCTTAATTTATCCGGGGAGCTGGGACTGTCAAGCTTTGAGACACACTCGAAATTCATGATGAACATCATGGCTACACCTTCCTGGTTCTTTACGGGTATAATATGGGTACTGCAAATGAACGTTGAACCTGAAAAGAAAATAATTCACAGTTATAAGAAAACTTTTGCCGGACACAGTGGTTAAATATTTGTTCAGATCTGCCCCACTTCCAGCACTATTACACAGCCAAGTGATGGTGTCATACTTCCCAGATAATTTATTCATAATGCAGACTAAATACTTGAAAGGTCCAGCTGCAAACATGACAACTTCATTATGGTTTTGTAGCAGGGATTAGGGACGCAAATTATTACAAAGATATCTCTCCAAAAGGTGTCCTAAGACAGATTTGCGAGAACCTCAGCAGCAACAAATGACTCACTGGGCAGGATGAAAGTAGATCAGAGGAGCTTAGGTCTGGGGCAGGACACATTACTCAAGTTAGAGCAGATTGTTCTTACAGATACGTAAAGAGCAGTAATTTAAATGAACCTTTAGTTTTAAAACTTTAACAAGTTTGACAGGTTTACTTTGTCTGGGTGGAAAATGTATATGGAATTCAGGAGCACTTTGTTCATCCCAGGAGCCACCAGGAAAATTGTATGACCCAGCTCCATTAAAGACAACTAGAGAAAACCTCATAAGTTAGATGCCAGCTGTCATTTTAAAGAAACATTGGCTACCTGGCTCCTGGGATTTGTCTAGCCCTACGTTAACTGATGTGTGTTTTTTGTGTCCCACTTTTATGGAGATGATTGCTTATATTGCAAGAAAATCTTTTGTTTTGCACATTAAGGTACCTATAGTGAGTTTTTCCCTAAAAAGGATGAAGGTATAACCGGGAAAGTGTCAATGTCAAGTCTATTGTCAAACTTTAAATACATCAATAAATATTTGAATGAATATGAAACATTGCTTCTCCACCTCAAGGTTGGGAGATACAACCCCCATGTCTTGGCTACCCCCGCCCCAAATTAGTTCTGCAACAGAATAACCCAGATGTTCAAGAAAAGTTGGGAAATGCTGCCGTATTTTTTATCAATGTTAGTTTTTTTGGGAGTTGGGAGAAAAAGAAGTGTTAGAGATTTAAGGCATGCCAACTGTCAAGGTTGCCAGTGTGCTTTTTTCACCTCTCGACCCAACTGTCATAGCGAATTACATGTGCAGCACCATAGCAGCTGCAATTCAAATCAAGACTAAGGCCCCATTCACACTACGCGATTCGCAAATTGCGCGTATGTCGCGCGATTTGCATTTTGCGCGATATCGTGCAAATGCTTGCATTGAGCAAGCTAGAATCGCGGCAAAATCCGCTCCAAAAAGGGTTCTGCTGTAGCGACGCACGACCTGCGACAGCAGGACCCTTTGCCCCATTGCCAAGCATTGGAGAGCGATATCGTGCGGTACATAGCCACGATATCGCGGGAATTACCGCGCGATAAATCGCTCAGTGTGAACGGGGCCTAAGATGGCACCCTCCTTGGCTGTAAAGGATAAGAGGTTGTAGTTTCTCTTTAAAAGAGGAATTGCTTAAAAGTTTTCAAAGTATTACATACAAAGAAAATTAACTCCAAATAGGCTAGTTATGTGTGTTAAAAACTTACAAATAATGTGCCCTTAATAATTATAGTCCTCAATTCAGCCGACGGATTTGCAGGAGGCTTTCAAATTTTCATGGATAATTACTGGAAAGTTAAAATAATTTTTCAAAAGTTATCCTTGATTAAAGCTTCTTTAGCTTATGAAGTTACTGCAGTCTTTTCATGTACAACGCTTAATCCCCTCATATTGATTAATGTACATTTGATGCCCCAGTTTTCAGCAAAATATTTTTACACATTTTATCATCCAGAAATTCTCAGTGCGAGCAATTGGTAAATTTTCTGGTGGGAACGGGAAGATTCTTAGACAACACCAAAATCCATATAACACAGAACTAAGTAAAACACATTCTATGTGGTTGCCACTGTTTCACAGTCCTAGCTGGGGACAAGTAAAATGTAGTCATTTTGGTGCATTGGAGTCAATAGGTAAAGCAATATTAAGATGGTTTTTAAAGTGACTGTTGCCAGCCTAAACAGGACATAGTAGTAACGTTTAGGCCAGGGGGGATCAATGAGTGCAGTGGGGGACCAGGGTCTTGACACTTTTTAAAGTTAAGCTCCAAATTTGTATTTACTGGAGCTGGGTGCATGTGACACGACAGGTAAGAATATACATTGCCTGGCCAAAATATTATCACACACTCTAATATTTTATTGGGCCGCCTTTAGGTTTGATTATGACATGGATTGGCATCAGCCGTGGCATCATTTCAATAAGCTTATGCGATGTCTCAACATTTATTTCCATCCAGAGTTGCTATACTTTTTCACCAAGATCCTGTAGTGATGATGAGAGAGTTGGACCAATGCGTAAAGTCTTCTCCAGCACATGTCAAAGATTCTCAATGGGGTTAAGGTCTAGACTCTGCGGTGGCCAATCCATGTGTGATTATTAAGTCTCATGCTCCCTGAACCACTCTTTCACAATTTGCGCCCAATGAATCTTGGCATTGTCATCTTGGAATATGCTGCAGTGCCATCAGGGAATAAAAAATCCATTGATGGAAAAACCTGGTTATTTAGTATATTCCTGTAGGCAGCTGACCTAATTTTTGGGGGACATAATGTTGCTGAACCTAGACCTATTATACAATGAAAGGCTCTCACCTTTTTGATTAGCCAAATCCAGGTGGTGACCCTTTTTTAGCCAGGCAGTGTATTTACTTCTTTTTAGGGACAGCTTTGATTGGCAAGTTCAGATTAGCAACATAGTTGCTTTAGGGATGCAATGGGCTGTAAATGACTCCTGAGTAAAGTATACAAAGAATACTAAATCAAACAAACTACATTACCCCAAATACACCTCCAAAACCCCACTTCCTCCGAATAAATAAATATGGTGTATTTATTTAAGCTTATTTCCCCTAAGCAGTTCAATAAGTGACATTGAGAACTTACACCTTGGTAATTTGATTGGTGAAATTTAAATCAGACCCACTGCCAGGGGCGTCCCGAGGCCGTGACGTCATCGCGCATGCGCGGTCAGATAATTAACGCCTGCCGGCGTCCATCTCAGTGGTGGACGCCAGCAGAGAGAGGCAGGGACGTTCACCCGGTGAGATGAGGTATGCTGCCAGGTCCCCTCCTCCCTCCTGACACTGTCGTGCTCTCGGACCATAACCGAGTGCCTGACTTTTTAGAGCTGATCAGAGCGGTTCCATTGAAAGCTGTATGGAAACCGCACTGATCTGCGCGGCAAAAATAGTGCAAGGAGCAGTTTGGGCGGGGGGTGCGGTTCGGATCGCATTGACCCGTGCGGTCACATGAACAGTCCCCATTGCAATGTATGAGATCGTTCATGTCGGTGGATCCGTGCGGTCAAACCGCCCCAGTGTGAGCGGGGTCTAGTTGTTATAAGTCAAAATAAAGTCATAAGTCCTTATCTGTATACTTGTTTTGTGACTCAAAATATTTGAGGTCTTTCCAAAGCAAATCCTTTTTCCTCTGATCTTAGAATGAGTGTTCAGGGGATTTTGTTAGAGATTAACTCTTTTTATTTGTTCTGGTGACAGAAAGTCATAGAAAATGAGCACACTTGGTGACACCAGTTTAATAATGGATCTCCTTCACTTTGGAGAGAATTTATCTTCTTTTCTGTTGTCCTACAAGACATATCTAAGAGTAGTTTTAACTATTCTCTACTCTGTCCAAACATATACTTTACATATACTTTAAGCAGGTGGGCTCCATGACAGCCAAGTAACAAATATTTTTAAAAATAGATCAACAATGGCAGCTTCCATGTTTTTCTCATGACAACCTTCTATTAAAAGAGCAAAAACACAGTAGTCTTTTTCTTTTCTGTAAGTCTTGTACAGCAGGCCTTGAAACCTAATTGAAACTACATTGCTCTCTGAAACACTAGTAGTTAGATCTCTCTCATCCCCAGTCAAGCCAATGATGGGCAAGACGTTTGTTAGGACTACAGAGGAACTACCCATCTCCTCATAGATGGGGGTAAGGTTATTCTGTAGTCTACAGAAGTGGGTTGAGACCAATGCTCTCAGATAAGGGTAGAACAGAGGCAGAAAACATAGGAAGATATGACTTCTGGCAGGATCACCAGGTACTTTTTGAACAAAAACACCTTCAATGGAATATTTTCCAGAGCAAAACAGAGCACATAAGAGATGTTCACTGTTAAGGTGGCCATACACCTTACAACCATCGCACGGCTTTCCTTGTACGATGGTTGTAAGGTGATTAACATTTCTTACGACCTGCCCATCATGGACAGGCAGATCATACTTGCGATCATAGCAAGTCCTCCCAGGTGAGATGAGGTCTTGCAGATGATTGCAATGGTGAGCGGGCAGTGTGCGTTTGCGCACCTCGGGTCGTGCGGCTTTTGTCTTGCGATCACACTACCAACCCGCTGAAAATCGTACGACCGTAGAGTAAATGCGGTCCCACGCTGCCCATCAACCTTACGATTATCGTACAACCGCGGGATCACCCACGATTATCGTACAATAATCGTCAGGTGTATGGGCACCTGACCATTCCCAGGGCCGGTGGTGGCATAAGGGGGAACTTGAAGAGCTTCGGGAGAGAATCAGCGGTGCCAATACTAGAGGAAGTGAGGCGGCAGTGGAGGGAGCAGAGCCGCATAAGACGATGCTTCCTCTACAGCGACGGCTCCTGTCACAGGCGGAGTGATTCCAAATGCACTCCGCCTGTGAGGAATCGATAGTAAAAGTGCGCTTCGCTCATTCTGGCCAGCGATTGGTTACCATATTTCTCTTGGAAATGTACGGCACCCCTGATCACCATATTTTTGTACAGGAATACATGTAGACTGTTGTACAGGAATAAGTGTGGATTGTTGTACAGTAAAAAATAAAAATAAGACCTACCCCGAAAATAAGACCTAGTGTGTTTTTTTTTAGCCTAAACAATTATAAGACAGAGGGGTCTATTCACAAAGCTGCCGAGGGCAGCCGAGTGAATGAAATTTTGGGGGAAATACGGTACTACAGGTCTT